CACTTGTTATAAAACAAATCAATTTGCAATAACCCGTTGATAAAACTTATACCACTTGTTATGAATATTAAATTCAAGAAAATATGACAAGATGAAAAGAATCACAGAATAACACAAGATTTAGCTTGGAAATCCAAATCCGTGAAACCCACGGGCAGAAGTGGAGAATTAATTATAATCAATAGCGAAAAAGTACAAAAGGATTTCACAAGACTCAACCTATCTCAAAATATACGAGTCTCTCTCTATAACCTAGATCCTCTTGCTTTGATGTTTTCTTGATGCGATACAATGTTTTTCTATGTTACTCAAGCCTTATGAAGAGCATAAACCACGCGGAGTATATATAGAAGTTCATTACAAGTGTTTTGGTTGAAATACAATTCAAGAAATAGAAGCAGAATCTAAAACAGATTCTTTCTAAATGGCATTGTTGCTTGATCATCAGGTTCGTAGTAGGTGAACGCCTATGTCTCGAACCAAATCTTCCACTTTTTTCTGGGCACTCGAACCAAGTGTTTGGGGGCTAGTTTGCTGTTCAAAACTCCAAAAGCAAGTCTTCAATTATCCAAAGTTCTTTTACTAATCAAACTTTCAACCCTTGACGAACTTTGATCCCTTTTTCAACCGGTCTTTCAAACTAAAAAAACTCTTGTTCATTTTATCAATTAACCAAACCAATCCTAATCCCAGTAGACATTTGGATCATACTCCAATAGTTTTTTATATATATTAATTTGGAGAGTCTAATCATTGAGGGGGGAATGAATGAAAGTTTTAAACTTTCAAATTAGAATAATGTTATGTAGCCCCATTAGGATTACAAATCTAGTCTCGGTGGCATTAGATGATCGGTTAAATGAAAAGTGGAATTAAATGAGTTGTTGTGAAAAGAGAGAAAAATAGATGAGAGAATAAAAGTCAATAGACTTGTGTGTATTATAATGAGAACCAAAACCCTACATTTACAGGACAGGATTAGAGATACAATGGTAATAATTTCTAGGGTTGTAGGGGTACAATTGTCATTCACTTATAAACTTATCATTTACAACACTCTCCCTTAAATGAGACATTACAAAATATCTATTTTCTTGAAACATTATTTGGCAATGACCCGATAGGAAAAAATTCCAAAAACAAAGAGTAAGAATATGAGGAAGAATAAACAGTTGTCTCATTAAAAACTTGTCAAGAAAATCCAATGTGACACAACTTGATCGAAGGAAAAAGAGTACAACTACTACCCTGGTTTTAATTCTTGTATTAAGTGATCCATGTCTTGTATGTCAATGTATTCAATATTGATATTTTGTACGTCAATATCTTCAAGAAAATCCAATGGGACAAAACTTGATGACTGTGGCAACATGATGATTCAAAAATAGCTTTTTACATATCAGGGTATTATTTTAAGGGTAAATGTCTTGTATGTTATGGACATTCATCAAACAAAGAATATGCTTCGTTAAAACCTTATTAGAAAAAAATCATATGGGAGAAATCTTAATGAAGAAAAAAGAGAATATTTCTCTTTTAAGTACACTACAAAAGTTGTCTCATTAAAAACCTTGCTAGGAAAACCCAATTGGACAAAACCTCGGTTAAGGAAAAAAAGTACAACGCATTTTTTCTCCCCCTCATGATAATATCACTTGAATGATGCTTCAGGCATATTAAATCATTACAGGGTAGTATCAAAATCATACAAGATAAATAGTTTATAATAACATTTATTAAGTGCATATCAAATTTTATGCATTATCACGCTAATGAAATAGAAAATTGTGATTGCATCCACCATATGATAATTTATCTATTTATACAAGTTTTCGTGAAATTCATTATGTAAAGAGTCGAACGTTTCATATTATGACTTTACTTTTTCTATATTCATTTCGCATAAGTATGTACCTTTTAGCGTTCGACTGTAGATCTGAAAAATTTCAGTCTTCTCTAGTAAGTTCAACTTTACTAGGATCGTATATAGAAACTTCATGTTTCTCTCGTAAATTTAATTTTAGTATAATCACATCATTTTATTTGCCCAATTATTACTTCGATTGATATACTTCAATACATTTATTTCGGTATCCTCATTATTCATAATATGAAGCGGTACATTAAGCACGAAAATGTTGTTGACAACTTTTTCTTTTCTTTTTTGATTCTAATTTCTTTTCACATAATGACATAACTTATTGAGATATCTCAATTTTCATTATTTTAAGTACCTAAATCTCTTCTGGAGTTTTATAATATGTTATGTTTAAGTACTCATTAAGAGATGCCTACTTAATAAGACCATCTTTACCAATTGCTCCGTTTTTGTTTGGAGGATTTTGTAATAGAATCGAAAATCATTACTCTTCAGGTGTGCCTTAAATTTATCACATATAATATTAATGAATTGTCCTTCCACGAGTCAATTCGAGTTTGAGCATTTAAAGCTGATTGTTAATCTCTTTGATCAGTAAATGCATATAAATGAATTATCCTTCGAACTTTTGATTCGAATAGTCTTTTGCGAGAATATAATGATGCATTTGTACATTATTTTCATCTTCTTATTTTCTACCCCTAATACTGAGAGAATTGTCAAATCAAATTGACATTCATTTTTACTGAGTTATAAAATATCTCTCATTTCGGATAAGGGTTCATACTACGCATGTATACTCAGCATTTTTTTTTTTTTTTTACTTTCCATCTCAATTCAATGTTGTGGATTAATTGTACATATATCACACTATTAAATAATTAGATAAAGAAACTAAGCTTTATCCATAAGTCAATTATAATATGGAGAACTTAATGTTGGCATGATACATTCCCTAAACAGAAATTAAAAGTATTTTATTCTCAATTAAATTAATTGAAGGCGTTTAACAAACAATAATGTTAAACCATTTATCGACATCTCAACTAACACTTATTAAAAAATTGAGATTTAGGATTATTGGTGTTAATAAGACACAACATCTTGATTATATAATCTGAAAATTATGCTCATTATTTTTCAAGTTGCAAATACCATGCAATTATTTAGTATTTGTATAAAATCTATTAGATACAAATAATATTTAGCTGGTCAACATGGTGGGTGACGGGGCACTATTTATCACCTTAATTAATTTTTAGGAATATAGGAATTCTCGTTGAATATCCATTTGAATTTTTAATTCTCCTTCATTATTGATTCAGTTATGATCCAGCTGAGCGTGCCAAATAACAATTTGGAAAGAATTCAACCTCCATACTTTATAGGTTTGGCAACTCCATAAAAACCCGTTCCCTCTTGTAGTAGTGTTCATAAAAGAGAGTCAACTATGATTTTTATGGATTTTATTTAAAGTTGTGCAGTGCAGATAATACCCACACAAAGGGAGGTTATACGACTTTAGGATGGCGTCTGCGAGCATTTCTTGACTCTTAATTTCATATTTTATTTTTCATTGCTTTATACTACTTGATTTTTTTTATTTTATAGAAATTGTCTAAATTACAAATTTACACAAATCACATATTACCCAACACAAAATTGATGTTAGTTGATTTATCTCTCTTATTTTCAACCACACATTTTTCAATAAAATAATAATAAACACAAATTCAAAATTTTTCCTTATTTTTGAACCACACATTCTCTATCAAATCATTATTCTAAAATGCATTTTGGCGAAAGAATGGGGCTCAAGCAGACCTTACAAGTTATTCAAATTAACATTAAATAATTAAAAAAATAAGAATTTCTAGTAGATAATTATATTTTTATAAAAAAAAATGGTGATAAATGTGTATATGATAGAGTCGGACTCGTGCATTGAGCCCGATAATCTGATTAGATTACAGATTACAAATTCTCATATTACCAGATAATTAGATTATGAAATAGTTTACAGATTATCAGATTATTAAATTATCATATTAGATTACAAATTATCAGAATTTTGACTCTCCAATGCTCCTTTCCTTTATAAATGCGGAACAAAATTTTACTTTTGGTCTTTCTTAGTGATCACTGTGATCATAATCGTGTTTTCGTGCTTGAGAATAGGCTGGGATATTGGTGGTGACTGTGTCAAAGATTGAAAAAGCAAGCCAACAACTTTGATCACATTTCAGAAGGTAATTACTCTAGATTTTATGATTTAATGTATAGCATAAGTTATTTTAATTATACAAATATATTTCAATCTCCAGAAGCTTTAAGTTTACTGGTCACTGTCAATGTTCGGCAAGACCAATCTTCAAGCTTTTACGAACCTAAGTGGCCAAGGCGTAGAAAAGCATAAAGCATGGTTAGGAAACATGATTCACTTTATTGAGCAGATAAATAAGATGCTCAAACATTATTTTTTCAATTGATATCAGACAGAAAATTTTATAATTTCTTGTTCAAATCATACAAAATGAGACTGCCAAGATTGAACATAAATTTGTGATACGAGGAATGGTCGCATTCAAAAAAGAAAACTCAATATTGTATTTGTTCTCTAGCCATTCCCATTTTGGTCAGAACTCAAATATTTTTTGACTCGATTGCAAAAAGCCTTCATTTATGGTTTTTGATTATGTAACAGTTATAAAATTGTCTGAGATGGTCGACTTACGACCATTGTCCGAGATGCTCAACCGACAACCGGTGAAAAGAGTTGCCTTTTTTCTTGTCATCCTCGTTTCAATAGCTGCAATAACCATATGGATCAATGTTGTAAGTAATTTCTTGTTTCATCTTTGATTGTAAATTTTTCGTTTTCTTTTGCTTCCTTTTATTGCATATTTGATACATTGGATTAGAGCCTAATCGTACTGTAAACCCGTCCTTAATAATGGATGGAATTTTAAGAGATGGATTTTTTGTGTGAATGAGAGTCATGTGATCACTTCATACTTATCTTCTTCGTTTTAGTAAAAACCGCGGTGGTGAAGTGGACTTAGCTCTCACTTTATATGGCCGTTTTTGGCGTTTAAGTTTCTCGTTATTGTCCTGTGCAATAATGTCTAGTACTCTATTTCTGCCTTGTTCTGATGTTTCAATCTTTCAGTCTATAATGACAGGTCCACTTCAGAAGAAATTTCTACTCCTAGGAACATCTCAGTGTATAAGTAGTCTTAAACTAACAACCCTCAACTGTTCAGACATTTCACCTTTGACAAACATTAGTACAGACAACAATGAACCCTCAGAATCATGTCCAGAATACTTTAAATGGATTCATGAAGATTTAAAACCATGGAAAGTTACAGGAATAACAAAGGAAATGATCGAAAAGGCGAAAGAAAAAGCACATATAAACATAGTCATTATGAATGGGAGAATGTATGTAGAAAAGTTTAAAGAGGCATTCCAAACTAGAGATACTGTGACAATATGGGGGATTTTGCAGCTTCTTAGGTTGTACCCGGGGAAGCTACCGGACTTGGATTTAATGTTTGAATGTGGTGACACGCCGAAGATCCGAAAACAAGATTATGCAAGATCAAATGCTTCGTATCCTCTCCCGCCCCTGTTTCATTACTGTGGAGATGACTCGAGTTTTGATATTGTTTTTCCCGACTGGTCCTTTTGGGGTTGGTAAACATTTTATCCTCTCATATAAAGCCTTGTTGAACCATCGCATCTATAAATTTAATCTAATATATTGTATGCATTTATTGGTTGGTCCTACTACTCCTTCGAGCACATTTTGATTTATTTTATATCTTTTATCTTCAACTCCTCCCCTTATGCATAAATTAAATTATTTTTTTCACCAGAGACATGCTATATTTTACCTTCCTAGAGTCTTTGGTGTGGATTAGTTTTATGAAAATTATTAATTGTATGCATTTCGTCATGAGCTATTGCTTGTTCAGTGTTCATTTCATCTAAAAGTTTAAACTGGCGGATAAACGAAAAATAATTTATTTAGGTATGTCTTCAACAATCCCCCACTTCGGATTCGTTATTTATTTATTCTTTTTCAAAGACCCGGCACTTGCATATAATTTTCATAAATGAATGACCTTGAGACTCAATAGACATTGTATGTTTTGTTGATTATGCAGGCCAGAGCTTAATATCAAGCCATGGGATATCTTGAAAAAGGACTTGCAAGAAGGCAATAGTAGAATCAAATGGAGTGACAGGGAAACTTATGCTTATTGGAAAGGTAACGCCAAGGTATCCGCCGCGAGATACGAGTTAGTGAAATGCAATGCCTCTGAATGGAATACTCGAATTGACCAAGTGGTAAGAAAGGATTCCTACTTCACGTATGGGATGTTTTTCAGTTTTTCTTCGCCTGTTAGCTTAGCGAGATGCATAGGATTTTCATCAGCAAGTAACGAGTACTAGAATTCAGAATCTACCTACTCTAATACCATTTTGTGATAATCTCCGTAACTAGGAATATTAGAAGAATTTCTAAAATCAGAAGAACAAGTTCTTTCGTTGACCTTTCTGAAAGATTCTTCCATTTCACGGGACTCAATGATCCTTGTCTTCCGATAACATTCATGAGTCGCCACCTTTACAACACTATTTAGAGATGTTGATAATTTCTATGTTACAGGATTGGGGACATGAGATAAAACATGGATTTGAAACTGCAGATTTAGCAAGCCAATGCACTTATAGGTATGCATGAATTTGACATAACTTTCTTAATTTATTTATTTTTTTTATTATTCTTTACTGATTTAATTTCTTCATATGATCATATGCAGATACAAAATTTATGCTGAAGGGGTGGCATGGTCTGTTAGTGAAAAATACATTTTAGCATGTGATTCTATGAGTCTGATGATAAACCCTCATTACTAAGATTTTTTCACAAGAAGTTTGCTTCCCACAATCCATTACTGGCCAATTAATGAGAAAGACAAGTGTAAATCAATCAAATTCGCAGTCGAATGGGGTAACAAACATATGAAAAAGGTGACTTTGTTGTCTACCTGTACTAAACACATCGCATCATTTTTGCTTATATATTGTTTATACATTGTAGCTACTACTATGAAAGTCAATATTTAATGACTATCACTTGACGCCCAGATAGAGAATGTCGGAGAGTAGAAGAGTAGAAGAAATGACGGAAAACGAGATGACTTTGAGAAATAATAAGAACTACAGTTAGACTCGATAGGATGTATGGCTAAACTTAAAATGTTTACTTACAAGTAAGTCTACATACAATTAACATAAATAGTTTATAATAGTTCAAATTGGAAAAATGAGTTACATAATTTTTGCAGGAAAGAGCAACCTTCCAAGAAAGTGACTTTTGTTACTTAAAAGCAAGAAAAAGTAACTTACTCAAATTTGAGCTTAGCTATAACGCTCTCAATCTTTTCTCCTAAATCACTCGTGTTCTCTCTTTGCCTTCACTCTTATCTCTCTTCTAATTTCTCTTTCTTGTTGTGCATCAAGGGATGAAAGCCATCTAAAAACATTCTTATGCAAAGTTACAAACGATACAAGATATTCTTATTCTTCTGTTACTTTTTTGACTGTCGAACTGTGCAGGCACAAGAGATTGGAAAAACAGGGAGCAAATATGTTCAAGAACAACTGAGAATGAAATATGTTTATGACTACATGTTTCATTTGCTAAATGAATATTCTAAGCTTCAGAAATATAAACCAACTGTACCAAAAGGGGCTGTCGAAGTGTGCACAGAGACAATGGTTTGTTCTGTCGAAGGTTTGATGAAGAAATTTAGGATTGATTCAATGGTAAAAGATCCTGCAGATTCATCTCCATGCACAATGCCTTCCTCCTATTATCCTGCAGAACTTGAAGATTTTCTTGAAATGAAAGAGAATCTAACTAAGCAAGTTAGAATGTTGGAAGAAAATGAAAGTATTGGAATCTCAACCATTAAAATTTGAGGGGGTGCACAATGCTGCATTGGACTACACATTATAGTAGGCACGATATGAACTATTTTCTTTTGATATTATTTAAGTTGAGTATCACATACAAAACTATTTCTCGAGTTGCTTACTATTTCTACATGAAACAAGTATACGATCTCTATCCTGCCCACAGTGAGTAGAATAAAAACTTCTCTCTACTGACTTGACAAGAGAACAATCTTATAGTTTTATGCAATAGTTATACATTCAGAGAATTGTACTTATGGTTCTGTGCCACATTAACAGTAAAAATTTTATCCTACCACCAGTACTTATGGTTATTTGCTACCACCAGTACTTATGGTTATTTGCTACATCAACAGTGAAATTTGTTTATCGATGGTAGGTGATCTATTCTACTATAGATCAAAACTCTACAAGATTATTAGACATTTGCTACTCAAGTTAATTTTAGCAACGAGCCACTAAAGTTTATTAAAACTTTCAAAGTGGTTATTGAAGTATTTTTCTTACCCTGGTGCTAACTCAAGTTTATAATGGGTACACTAATGGTTGCTCGACTAGAAACATAAAAATCCCACATGGCAATTTCAGTACAAATGTAGACATAAACATCCTTAACTAGCCTGTTATGTCAAATATAATCGTAAATTTTTATAGAAATTAATTGAAAAATTCCTATAAATTTAAAGTTGTATATATGTGTAATGTGTTTCCACATCTGAATGTTTAATGCTATTAATCTCCATGTGAACATTCTTTCATAACTCCCTAGATTCTTATTCGCCAAGCTTCAAAGTCGTTTATGTCATGTTGGCATTTCAATGCGCTAAATAGGATTTTTTATTTTTTTTGGGGGTTAATATTTTTAGGATTATAAACTTGAGCGGCAATTACTATAAGAAGAATACCATTTTGGAAATTTTTAAAAAATGTTATCGTCCAATGATCGTTGCTAGAATTAACCCCTTTACTACTCATTCTCACCTTTCAGATTCCTTTTTTTTTTTTGGGTGATTTTCTTTTTGCTAATTTTTTTTATAATTTTCATAGTTGGATGTTAATGCAGATGATGATGATGATGATGATCGATTAATTAATTGTATTTAACCATGCAACATTGTTTTTTGGGAGGTCCGTCTATTAAAAGATGGAACAATGACTATGCATGGCTTTGGAGAGGTGATGAAGAGGGAAACGACGAAATAAAAGAAAATGAAACCAGTACCGGCTAGTAGATTTAAATAAATCTCAATCCAATTATAAATTTCAATCATTTTATTCTTTGTTCGCTTTCTGATGACATCCAAAAAATGAGGCCCTATTAAATGGTCCAAGAAATGGAGCCCAATTAGGAAATTTTGAGAGATGGGCTCAAATGAGACCATTGTAAAATATAGTGGATGACCATAAACGGAGGACTATCATTGCTCAAGCCTGCAGGACGCCTAGGATCTGAGCGAATAAAGTACCTTATTGTTGCTCAAAGCGATGGTTCCATTCTCGCACAATCCTTCGAGACGCCCAAAATCTAAGCAAATATAGCGTCTTGTTGTTATTTAAAGCGGCGGTTATTGAAGCAGTTATTGAGCAATCTTATCACATTCCACAATCCAAGAATTTCGGTTGCAAGCAGTTAAAAGAGGGGAGTAATTGCAGCAGTTTAAAAACGACGGTTCCTTGACACGTCAGTCATTATGTAGCAAGTGGGTAGTTATAGAGTGACAAGCAGTTTCCAAACGGTTTTTCAAGGAAAACTGGTTAAGGAGTATAAAATAAAAAAGAAAACATAGAAGGAAGGACCCCGAATCAATCACTCTCAAATAGAGAATTATGTAATTTCATTTCGTTTAGTTGTTATTGTCAACTTTCAAATTATTTTGTGTGTTTGTATCCCTTGGAGGTGTTTTTCTTCTTCCTAATTGTAATCTTCATAAATAACGCACCCCTTGTTGGGACTTTGTCCAGAAAGGTTTGTTCCTTACACAATCGTCTGAACCATCTTTTAATTGTTAGAGATGCTCGACAATCTGCGCGAAACAATTTGGCACACCCAGTAGGACATTGGTGTTTGAGGATGTAAAAACTGAATCAATACACCTCATAAGAATTTTGATAAAGAACCAGCAAGTCAAGGAGTAGTCCAGTCTATGATCGAACGATATGAGGAACAACAAAGTACTCCACGAACAGAGGGACAAGTCAAGGCAGTTAAGGTCGTTACGAGCCGATGACAGAATTGAGTCCTCGAACCATGCGTTCATTACTTGGGGAACTCACAGAAGACGTCGTTGAACAAGTAAATCTACGAAATGTTTATAATATAGAAAGATTTACTCAAAATGGAAATGTACATTATGACAACATGGCCGAACAACTAAACAAGTTAAATGAAATCATGAATAAGTTAATGGGTCAAATGTGTCAACCAGTTGTACCGATAAGGAGCTACTTTCAAGCCAGAATGATTATGGGACATAATTCCCCAGTCCTGAATCCAAATCATGGAATAGAACCACCTTTTGGACCATCTACTTCAAACCAAGGAAGTGGTGGAATGCCAAATTTGAATAGTGATAAAGAAATATCAAACCTGGGGTAACCCAAATACAAGAGACAATGTCCAAACCAACGGACAGAACACCCTGCGTGTTAATGATGGCAGAAACACTCAGGCTAATAGTAATAATGGTTTAAACGACAACATTTTTGCCACAAACCAAGGACCGAACATTAGGCCTCAAGTAGTTCCACCAATGAACCAACCTCTAGAAGTTCCATATAATCCCAACGGTATGTTGAGGATCCAAATTATGGAAATAGTGCGGGATCAAATGGCTTTTAGGGTACGTCCTGTTATTAGGCCGACTTACACAAAGTCATATCATGATTGGATATATCAGGCATATCCATGGCCTAGGGGATACAAAGTACCAGAATTTTTATTATTCACTGGTCTGTGAGAAGTTTCTACTATGGACCATATAGGACGATTCACACTGCAAAGTGGTAAAGTAACCGACTATCACAAAATGAGACTGTTCCTTAATTCGTTAAAGGAGTAGTTTTCCTTGTTTATTAATTTGCCAGCAAATTCTGTTCAAACAAGGCAACAACTATAACAATTCTACGCTCAATTTTACAAAACTGAATCTGAAGTTACTTTGCTGACTTGACGAATTTACGTCAAATGCCAAATAAATGGGCGGAAAGTTTCCTTCAGAGGTTTAAAATAGTTAGGAGCAAATGTTTTGTACCTCTGCCCGAAAAAGAATTCGTCAAAATAACTCAAAGTGGTTTGAGTTTTGACTTAAAAAAGAAATTCCAGGATATGGAATTTCCTGACATTTTTCAACCAAGTGCTAACGTAATTAGGTATGAACGAAGGATAACAAAAGAAGAACAAATGAAAAATTCTAGTAAGGGGACTTATTATAAAGACCCAAATTTCGATGTTCATACTGTTAGTGACGAATATTATGATCAAACGGAAGTATTTTCGGCCGAATTGATTAAAGGAAATGCAAATGATTGTCCCATAATAGCCAAATCTAGGACATCGGGCAAGAATGAACCCCTAAAAGAAGAAAACAAAAAGGCTAGGGTATTCTTATTTTATGTGACCACATGTGACATTATATTTAACAAACTGTATAAGGATAAGTAAATAAAATTGAGCGACGACATAAGTTGCCAGACCCTGAACAAGTTAAGGGTAAAAAATATTGTAAATGGCACAATGCATGGTCACAAATGACTAATAATTGCTTGGTCATTCATCATGTGTTACAGGATGCCATCAAGTCAGGGCAAATCACATTCGAAGTTAAGAAAAAAATGGCAGTGGATGAAAATCATTTCCCACAGCCACTTGGGGTAAACATGGTGATGACTGGTTTCAAAAATAAGTTGTCAAACTCAAGTTGGTCGTAGATGATGGAGAAGAAGATTCTGGGACACATCCCAGTGTTTTTGAACGTATCAAAGGGAAGGAGCCTAGAGAAGGCGGAAGCATCCTGTGCGCGAAATGCAAGGAAGAAGTGAATACAAACATAAAAAGATCAGGAATGTGGCGACATCACCATCGTCCTGATATCGCCCCAAATATCCAGCCTGGTGGAGGACGTGGTGTGTTTCATTCTAAAGGGGACCGCCTTTTGAGAGGCAGTTCAGGCCAATAAACAATGGGAGAAATTCAAACCGCAACCTCGCTAACAAAATGTATGGCATTCATTCCAATATAATGTAACAGGCCAATAAATAATGTGAGGACATTTAGGCCACAACCTCGCCACACAAATGTATGGCATTCATTCCAATATAATGTAGGAATGGTTGTACCCTTCAACGAGATGACCAGAACCCAACAAAAGCATTTTCAACGAAACTATGGGCAAATGACTAGGCAACAATAGGTATAACCACGTCCTAAGGCACCTAAATTGCTTGAGGTGGCTAATAAAAACGTTCTTGAAGATGATAAAGAGGCCGGTATGGGTGAATCAATGGAAGAGTAACCAGAAAATTCTTTCGGGAGATTAAAATTTGAGCGTAGGAAGAAGGATGAAGAAGGGTGAATCAACCCCTCACTATTCGGTTCAGTACATTACCACCCGTTATGGCTAATAACTATTTATTATCCAATGAATTCAAAAATAAAGAAAATGAAGAAAAGAAAAGGAAAGGTAATGAGGATGAATCGTGTGTGCTGGAATGTGAAGAAGGCTAAATGTCCCAAGAGGTATATGATGACGAAGAGGACGATAGCATGACTAACATTGAAGCGGAAATTGATTTAGAAGCAGAGAGAAGAAAAATGGGAGTGTCGCGCAATACTTTGTTGAAACAACTACATCGGGAAGGTGTTCGCGTGGTGGATTTGTTGGGAAAACCATCTAGGCGTTCTTTTGACTACTATGTGTTATACAGGACACCCAAGAGAATGAAGAGAGTGCCTCACTCTGAGAATATGGGTCACCTCCAAGAATATTGCCACCTCCTACGGGTTGGAT